GCAACTGAACGGAGTGCCAGTGACTGGCTGTTCAAACTAAAATGCTGTGTGTCAAGACAAAATCAGAACTTTTTAATGTTTAAAAGAATAGTTGACCCAAAAATGAAAATTTGCTGAAAATACTCACCCTCAGCTCATTCAAGATGTAGAGTTTGTTTCTTCGTCAGAACAGATTTGGAGAAAGGTAGCATTACATCACTTGCTCACCAATGGATCCTCTGCAGTGAATGGGTGCCGTCAGAATGAGTCCAAACAGCTGATAAAAACATCATAATAATCCACAAGCAATCCATATGACCCCAGTTTTCCACAAGTAATCCACATGACCCCAAATAAAGTTGGAAAGTTTTTCCAAAATAAAGTTTATTTGCAGTGATGCCATAGAAGAACCATTCTGAGTTGCCCAAAGAACAGAACCATTTTTTTTTTAGCGTGAAGAACATTTGAATATCTAAAGACCTCAAGATTTCATGGTTGTTAAAGGGAACCACCATTTATTTTTGTTCAGTAGCATATTAGTTTTGGCTGTGTATTGAAATTGGTTTTGAGAATCATTACATTTCAAAATACTTAAGTTTTGGTATCATGACAACTATACAGGAAAGAGATACTGGAGCTTTTATCGCTCGTCATTTTATCATCTCACATCTGGCTAGGACACAATGTTACAAGAGTCCAGTATCTTATAATGGAGTCTTATTGATGTCCTTACATAAAACTGGGTCTACTGGTCTTTGCGGAACTGAAGATTTCTGAACTTTGATTTACACATTACAATGACTGATTGTATTTTGCATTGATGATAACTGTTAGCGAGGCCTGTCTGTGCTGCTAATGATTTCTTGAGTAATTGCACACCTGTATAAAAGCACACTGGCAGAACAAACCCTCTCATGAAAGAGCATCAAAGAGCATTTGATCCATAATCTTCATTCTTAGGATCTGAGTTAGATTTATGACTGCATAATCAACATCCTTCTAATCAATGCCATGACAAGGGATCAAAAAGAAGCTTGTGTTATATAATCAGAGTGTAAAGGTTCCACTGGAATAGATTTTCCCCCGTCAATGGAGGGTTTGCAGGATCCGAATGACAGGAACAAACAAGACGTTCCGGTCCAAGAGCAGCCAAGCGTCAATGTTCTGTTTATTCTGTATCAAAATGAGCCAAATGGGCCTGTCTACAATTGTTCGGTGAAGTATTATTTTTTTTATTCTAATTTTGATTCACTGCCATTGTTATTTTGCCTTAAAAGCCACATCTTAATTGGGACCACTTGTCTCAAGTGTGGTTGCCAATTATATTTACTTGCACTGCTGTCAGTTATATTTTATGATGTAGCAGCCTTAATTCATCTGGAGAACAGCATGTTCTCAAACTTTGTCATTTTCATGTCTCAAATGGTGGTAATAGTCATTTGGACTGCACAGTATTGCTAAAAAAATATCAATCTCAATGATTTTCAGCTTTTTGATGATGTGTGATATATGTCTTAGGATTTATTTATTTGCTCTGAAATATGTTTTTTTTTTTTTAATTAGATGAAATATAATCATAATATAAAACTATTTTGCCAAGTAGCTTCAACATTAAAGCAAGGATACATTTCAGTAAATGAATGAATGAATGAATGAATGAACAAACAAACAAATAAATATGTAGGTATATGTATGATATATTTGGTAACACTTACTTTATAAAAATATTTCAATTTTATCATATGAAATATTTCAATATGATAATTGGTAAAATATTTTTTGCTTATGTTCATTTAGTTATTCATTTAGTTGTGTATAAAATATACCTGGTATACAGTGCATTTACATTTGATTATTTTATTAAATTGTTTCTTTATATTTAATATTTTTATATTATAATCTTTATAAAAATGCACTGTTTTAACCAAATAAACAAATATTCTCATTTATATGAACAAATTTAACATAATAAATGGTATTGTCAGTCCTGTGTTCCTATGTGTTTTGTTCCCCATGTTCTCTCCTTGACCCAGTTTCTCCCGTGTTTGTGCCCATATTTGGTTTTCCTGTTCCCGTTTGAGTTCCATTTGTTTCAGCTGCGTCCTATTAATCTCCTCGTTTAGTTCTGATTACTTAAACCCTGTGTCTTTCCATGCCCAGCGTCCGGTATTGTTCGTCTATCCCCGCTACGTGTGTGTTCCTTGTTCCTTGGTTAAATAAAGACTTTCCTCGTTGTAAATGCTCCTACGTCTCCTCGCTCTGACACAGTAGCAGCCTACCGTGACAGTTATATTTGGATACAAGGATACATTTCTGTAAAAAAAAAATATATATAAAAAAATAAATAAATAAATAAAAAAAATAAATATATATATATATACATTTGTTTAATTAAATATTTCTTTATATTTAATTCTTTATTATATAATATAAAAAAATTATAATTATTTATAATCTTTATTAAAAATACACTGTTTTAACTATATTAACACATTTTCATTTATATGCACAACATAACATTGTAATAAACAGATTATGTTGATTATTTGAAGCAGGTAAAATGTACAGTTGAATCAAGTGAGTCTGTATTTTGATTTACAAATTCATGGAGAGTTTGCTGAAACTGATTCATTGAAATGATTATCTTTTTTACTGCAACATACAAAATCATCTCAATATTCTTGACTTTTATATCATGAACAAAATCTCTATATCTATATCTATATCTATATCTAGTTTATCATGAATATTTGATCAATCACCCAGCCCTAATGGTTATTTAATATCTGTAAAGAATTATGTGCATTTTAACAAGGTTTTTTAACGTTTTAAGGTTGCTACAAAACCCAGACTTTTTCGGGCTTGCAGAATTACTGTCCTATATAATAAATCCATCATAATTGGTCAAGACTTAATGGGTTTAAACCCATTAAAACACAACACTCATTAAGAAGCTAGATAACCATTTCTACATGAGATAAGGTGTATTAACGTGGACATAATGGTTGCTCTGCAAAATGACCAGAGAGTGTGAATTTTGTTTTGAAAATGGTCTTTGTGAAGTGTTTCTTGTCTAAGCGTCATTTGTGCTCGCTGCATGAGGGTGCAAGTGATGCGGGCCCATAAACGCGTTCCTGTTAAATGAAGGCTTATTGTGAGGGAAACACTTTTACTGCTATTTCATATGATTGCATGGGTTTGCATCCGTAGATGTGCCATCATTTCGGTCCTTCAAGCAATAAAGTGATTTTAGTATATTGTTCTTCAGATGCCTTGCAGATCTTTACAGTGATAGGGTAAGAATATAGTTTTTGGCTGTGATTGGAATAGCATAACAATATGCCATCTTAATATTTTCTAATCCTCCCTTGCATAATTTATCGTTCAAAAATGTGAACACTGGAGCCTGTAGAGGAAAGTCTGGCATATAAGGCTTATAATGTGGTCCCATGAGTGAGCTGTAAAAAATATATCTGTTTTGAAGGAAGTGTATGCTAATATGTTACATAGACCTGTCAGATTTTGAGACCCTAAATTGGCCTTTTCATAAAAAAAAAAAAAATTGGCAATTGCCCTCTCCTCAAGGAACGTCTTAGAGGGCAAGTAATATATCGGTAATGTTGTGGAGTGACAACCGTTTTATGCCTCTGTCACCACAGACAAACGCGCCTTTTCTCTCCAGCTCTGACAGCATTCCCAGACTGCAAAATCAAGTAGGTTGAAACTAAGTGAGTGACAATGACTCTAAAAGATGCTAGAGGGTTTGGGTTTTGTTGAGGTAGACATCATGGGGAATGTGAGGTTCTGCGGAAGGACTGAGGTTTCTTATGTATTCAGACTGAAGTGAATTACTTTCTATTTATGCACAGGATCTCAATTGTTTTATTCACCCAACTTTTATAAACAATTAGGACAATTTAAGAATAAGGTTAATCTAAATTAAAAACTATTGTAGTTTTTTATTAATATTTATATGTTCTGTTTTAATTTTAATTGTAGTTAATTGTTTTAGAAATGTTGTTGTTTTTTGGTATTTATTTTTAAAATATATGTCTTATATATATATAATTTTATTACAGTTTTAGTTATTTCATTACATCAAGTTAAACTAAATTAAAATGAGAAATGTTGATTTGTTGTTCAGTTTTGGTATCAATTAACTATAATAGACCTATATAGTATATCATGTGTATTAAGAGGGTTTTTTATAAATTTATTAAATTAAATTGATTAACTTTTGGTTACTTTTAATTGTGGAATAAGTGGAGCTGCCAAAGTTAGCATGTTAACGTAAGATTAATTAAACATACATTTTTCTTTGAATGCTTTTACTTTGGCGTCAAAAGAAATTCAGTTGATTAATTTAAACATTTAATTAATAATTAATTTAATTAATTCAGATTGGACATTTAAGAAAAGTAAAGTGACTAGCAATGTTTGTATTGAGAAATTAATTGTCAGTGAAGTTAAACAGGACACTCGAAAAAATGCTGGGTTAAACATAACCCAGTGCTGGGTTAAAAAGGGACAAACCCAGCTATTGGGTTGTTTTGACCCAGCGGTTGGGTTGTTTTGACCCAGCGGTTGGGTTGTTTTGACCCAGCGGTTGGGTTGTTTTGACCCAGCGGTTGGGTTGTTTTGACCCAGCGGTTGGGTTGTTTTGACCCAGCGGTTGGGTTGTTTTGACCCAGCGGTTGGGTTGTTTTGAACCCAACCACTGGGTCAAAACAACCCAATAGCTGGGTTTGTACCTTTTTAACCCAGCGCTGGGTTATATTTAACCCAGCATTTTTTCGAGTGTATGAAATATGATTTATGTGAGCAAAACACCATCTCTTCTAATGATTAGAAGGCATTATATGACGACTTTATATGAACGATACTGTTAGCACATATTTAATACATAATATATTATGTTATTGTAGATACGCTGACAAAGAAAAAAAGATAATTTTGGCTAGATAAATGTGTGTGTGGGTTATTCACTTATTTATTTTCATATTTTGTCATATTTTCCCTAGCCCTCACAAATGTGAAGTTATGGGCCATCGACCGCCAGTGTTTCCAGACCATCATGATGAGGACCGGACTCATCAAGCATGCAGAGTACATGGACTTTCTCAAGAGGTGGGCTGCTTCTCCTTTCCTTTCTGTTTATTCTTCCTAACCCCTGATGGAAGAGGTCTGTCCCTCACCAGTATGTAATAAAATAAATGGATTTTCTTCATGAATGAATAACACAGAAGTGAATGGTTACATAATCCCAGATAACTCAGGCTTTACACTCGCTGTTCTTTGCTGTGTATCGTTAATCTCCCGGGTGATGAGTTTTGATTGTAATATTTTGGAAGGTGAAATGGCATATTACTCTCAAATGTTTCTAATCAACTCTCGTTATATTTCGGCGGTTTTTCTAAGGAAAGTAAAATGTGTGTTGGTTAGACACAGACAGAGGACACATAATGATTAGAGTGCTGTTGCTTTCTGTAGATTCTCTCTGTTCATTTGAGTCTAATTCATCTCCTTCCACTAAAAATACAGATTTTTAGCCATGAGCTGTTTATAAATAGCTTTGCTTTATTAGAACATTCTTATTTTTATTATTTAATATCGATTAATCTGCAGTCCACCATACAAATGCATTCACACTCGTGTTCTCTCCCCAATGTCTACTGCATTATGTAATAATGGATTTTGCATTCATATTTTAGTATGCATTGTATGTAGAAAGTACATTTTTAGTGTTTCTGAGTGAAAATGTGAGAGTGCTAGTAACTTTTTTGAGTCCATGGACCCCATTGTCCATCACAATATTCAAAGACCCCATGACTTTTCCAGTTGTTTGTGATTTATTGGATAAATATTAAATATAAATATATATATATATTTTTTTTTTTTCTACTTGATAAAATATTTTAGAGTTTGGCATTACTATAAAAAAAAAATATTAGAAATGCCCATTATAAGATTTTGTGAATTTACGTGACATTTCAGGTCTGGAAATCACACTTTTGAAATTAGGATTCTTCATATATACAGTTTTTTTTTAATTAGTAAAAAAATTACAAATACTTGCTGAGATGGTGAATTAAAATAAGAAATATTGTTCACACTTTTGGGGACCAATTAGTTTGGTGGCCCATTCTCACTGTTAACTTTACTGTTGACTATGACTTTTGCCTCAATAAAATTAATTGAATTAATTAATAGTTAGTAAGGTAGTTGTTAAGTTTTCAGATTAAGGGATCCAAAATATGGTCGTGCAGAATAAGGCATTAATATATGCTTTATAAGTACTAATGAACAGCCAATATGCTAGTAATATGCATGCTAATAAGCAACTAGTTTGAGAATTGGTCCCTAAACTAAAGTGTTATTGAAATATCTTAATTTTAGTTATTTTAATTTGATTTTAAATCATTTTAAGTCTTCTTGAAGCCACCTTGAAAGTATGCTGAGGACCCCTACATGAGAACCATTGTTATTGGGTATTATGTGTCTTGTGGGCATTATGGTTGCCAGGGTCAAAATACAAAGATATTCTTCCTTCGGTGTATTTCTATGGGCATTATTGTAGTTATTGCCAGTTTTATTATCTGGCAGGCAAAAAACGTAAGTCTGACTGCATCGAAATGTAAGGCAAACTTAGAAATGCAATAAACCACATGATTTGATACATTTACATTTACATTTAGTCATTTAGTCATATATATATATATATATATATATATATTATACACACACACACATATACACACACACACACAAAGAAAAACAAGTAGATAGAATAGAAAAAATAGAAAGCTAGTGTTTTTATTTTTATTTTTTATTTTTTTTGTACAAATGTTGAAGGATAAGTGGTGAGAAATCTCTAACCTGAAGTATGAGCAATAGTAATAGCATTAGCAAACACCTAATACAGTAAACTGTGGTCTAAGAAATGGAAAGAAAACAACGTTATGGTTTCATGCGTAATGAATTATTGAATCCTTGAACGAAGAGGTCAGGGTTTGTTTGATTTTTTTAAAACAATCATTCAATCATGGACTCCAAAGCGTCTGGTGACACAAAACAGTGGCATTTTGCAATAAGATTCTCAAAAAAAATGACATTTCCCCAGAGGCCCCAAACCAGCTTTACTGGAAACCGTAGGCTGATGATGTCAAGGGATGGAAAGAACTTGGCTTTTGAAGGAAACGTAAGATGCCTATGAGCTGCATGGAGCAGTGAGAGAAGAAGTGTTGCATTCAGAATCAATATGCTGATGCCCCTCATGGACAATGTGACTGCAGAAAAAGATGTATCCTTTGAGGAGTTTAGGATATTCAGAAGTCCATACTCACTCATGAATATGAACTATAGAAGTGCATTTTGTTTGCTCCAACTACTGTAAGAGATATATTTATGGCACATTAAAATGCAAATTCATTTTTTACACATATTTACCCTTTATTATGTTCTAACAGAGGCAGAGAAAGTTAGTTAAAAATTAGCCTAGATAGACAAAAATGTCGTGTGCTAAAAGTAAATAGAATCAGTTTTGATTTGATGTTGACTTTAATGTCCCTTAGCTAATTTAAATCTGGAAAACCATATATTTTTTTAATTTGGAGATTTTTTGATTCTACTGAGAGTCAACTGAGAGATTTTCCAGTAAAGTTCTTTCTGGTTGACTAGTTTTCTTAGCTATTTAAAATGATTGGCAGCCCCTTTTTTATGAAAACCCATGAGAAGTCCACCCACACCTCAACCTGAGACATTATTTCTGAGACTGCAAAAGTGTGCTTGTCAATTTCTTGCATTTACACTGTTCATTCACCAGCTTTCGTAGATTTCCATTAATTTCTGATATTACTAAATTAATTTCATAAGACTCACAGACTTTTCCTTTGCAGCCCATTCTTTTGAAACTAACACTCGGATTGTTTTTCTGCTGGTTAGACATGATACTTTGTGACCTGACGGAAACGGCTTGATTTGTTGGCTCACAAAACCTCAGACTTTCTTTTCATCTTTTTCACAGCGTTCCGACATTCCAAGGCCTTCCAGAAGAAATACTTAGCAAGCTAGCTGATGTGCTGGAGGAGGTAAGTCACTGAACTGTGTTGTATAAATCATTGTGTATTTTCTCAGAAGAGCCTGTTAACTCATAGTTCTTTACAACAACAAATGTAGACTCCATATTCTATTAAACATTGACTGGGCTGTCATTCATTAAATATCACTAGACAAAGGATTTGATAAAAAAAATTATTTATTTAAAAGGTCTTATTTTGTAAAAGGCCTTAATAAAGTATTTGATATATATATATATATATATATATATATATATATATATAAATCTTGTTATTTCCATGAAAATAGGATTGTGCTACATCGGTGTGGATGGTCACCGGTGTGCTGTTTCTAATGGTTTCATTGCAATGGGAACAGCAACTTTGGTGAAACTCTCTTGAGGATTATGGGATATTTTGCAATTACATGTGGAAAAAAAGGAAGTTGAAATCACATTAACATAGGATTTTTACAGAAGCGCATATTATTAGCAAAGATCCTTGGAGCTCATGGTTGGTCTGTATCGAACATTTTATATATGATCACTAAAAATCAATATCTCTATGGAGATATTGAATGGCATTTTAATTTCCAGAAACTGGTATTGGAAACCAGTGTTATTTTAATATCATTAATATACTATTATAGTTTGTATTCATATTTTGAATTATTTATTTTATATTATCTGCTTTCATTTTCATTTTAGTTTGTTATATTTATTTTTTAGTGTTTTTTTATGTCTATATAATTTTTAGGCCTAGATGTTGCTTTTAGGGTCCTGTACATGCGGTTCATATTAATTTCAAATAGGCCATGAACAATTATGTCGATTGCCCTAAGCAATAAACAACAACATAAGATATGTTGTCATGACAGTTTGCCTTATGAAACATAAGACCGTAACTGCCTATTCACCTTTAAGGCTTTTGTTCTGCAATAATTTTAAATGCTTTTTTTTTTTTTTTGTTACCTAGATGAGCTCAATTTGTCATGTTGACAAATCACTCATTGGGCTTATTGAGTCAGAGAGAGTTTGGAGACATTTACTCAAAGGATATTCCCACACAGAATGACATTTATTTTTGTTAAGGAAACAAAGAACACCAAATTGTTGTTGGCAGGCTGTTCTCAAGTGTAGACGATATAAGTGCCCTGAAGTGTTAAGTAAAGGACAGCTTTGACTTTTTGGTCCTCTCTTCAGAAACATTGCTTATGAACTAAATCTCTCACTTGCATGTGGATCTGCCCCCCAAAGATAAGTAAAGATGCAGAACTAGAATGCTAGAGACCAAATGGAGAAAATTATCTCTTTTATTTGATTGTTATTTTTCATAATGTTGGGAAAGTAATGCAATTAACAGAGTAGCCTTTGGACATCCTTGTTAATTAAGATTACATCAATGAATTAAAACTGCTTTGTTTTTTGAATGTTATTTGCCTGAAGGCCATTCATAACTTCATAGGCTTGTGTTTACAATGCAGCTGTTGGCGCCCTAATATAATACACATCACCACAACCATTTTCGCAGTGTTTCCCAGTGCATTACAATAAGTAATTAGTGCTTGCAAGGAAATCCCTCTTTTTTATTTTTGTTTTTTGTTCATTTTTGTTGAATAAATTGTGCATATACAGTACTGTATATCTCACTGGCCATTTTATTAGGTACATCTCTTCAACTCATTGTTAATGCAAATATCTAATCAGCCAATCACATGGCAACAACCCAATGCATTTAGGCATGTAGATATGGTCAAGACAATCTGCTGAAGTTCAAATCAAGCATCAGAATGGGGAAGAAATATGATTTAAGTGACTTTGAATGTTGCATGGTTGTTGGTGCCAGACGTTCCAGTTTGAGTATTTCAGAAGCTGCTGATCTACTGGGATTTTAACGCACAACCATCTCTAGGATTTTCAGAGAACGGTCAGAAAAATAGAAAATATCCAGTGAGTGGCAAATCAGTGGGTGAAAATGCCTTGTTGATGCCGGAGGTCAGAGGAGAATGGCCAGACTGGTTCGAGCTGATAGAAAGGCAACCATAACTCAAATAAGCACTTGTTACAACCAAGGTATGCAGCAGAGCATCTCTGAATGTACAACACATCAAACCGTGAAGCAGATGGACTGCAGCAGCAGAAGACACGCACCTGGTGCCGCTCCTGTCAGCTAAGAACAGGAAACTGAGGCTACAATTAGCACTGGCTCACCAAAATTTGACAATAGAAGATTGTCAATTTCTGCTGTGACGTTTGGATATTTGGGTTAGAAATTGGCATGAACAGTATTAAAGCATGCATCCATCCTGCCTTGTATCAGTGGTTCAGGCTGCTGGTGGTGTAATGGTGTGGAGGATATTTTCTTGGCACACTTTTGGTACCAATTGAGCATTGTTTAAATGCCAAAGCTTACCTGAGTATTGTTGCTGACTGTTTCCATCATTTTATGACCACAGTGTACACATCTTGCGATGGCTACTTCCAGCAGGATAACGCGCCATGTCACAAAGCACAAAGAATGGACAAAGAAGGATTAGATCAATTCCTTTTTGAAACTCACTATTAGAGCCCGACCGATATGGTTTTTTTGGGGCCGATACCGATACCGATACCGATATTAGGGGTAAAAAAAAGGTCGATACTGATATATCGGCCGATATTCTTTGTGTATATTATAGTACAGTACCAGTCAAAAGTTTGGACACTTTCCCAAGCTGAAGAGATCCCCCGAATTTGGTGTGGATTCACCGCGCCGTTACGGAGATATGGCCGTTCAAAGCTTCAATGGTTTTCCATTGACTTAAGCTTTAAAACGTTTCATCCAGGTTGCCAGTAGCAAACAATGGAGCGCACATCGGCCGATAATATCGGCAAAACGATATATCGGTCGGGCTCTACTCACTATCGTGTTTTAAAGGCAGAGCTGATGGACATGAAAACTGTGGGTAGTTTCTAGAGTGACTAATGAGCTGCCTTCATACTGGGTCCCTACTGCTGCTTTTACTGCCCTGACTAAACATGATGAAAACAGCTCTGTGTTTTCTGCTTTGATCTCTCGCTCTGTTCTCTCTACATTCTCTTAGTCCAGGGGTCTTCAACTAAAATTGCTTGAGGTCCAGTAATGAACCCTCCTCGCCAGCCAAGGTCTGGGCAATTATATACCTAAAAACATGAATTGATGGTTTTTGCCAGACCAGGGTTTCTGTAGAATATTTAAGCTCAAATCAAAGACTTTAGGACATTTTTAAGACTTGCACAAATCAAAATAAAATGACTGTAAAAAGCATGATTTATGGTTCAGACACAGGTTTTCACAAAAACAAAAAGGTTTATAAAATGATAAACTTCACATGTAAGCATTTAAACCAAGAAAATTGAGTTATAAGTATCAATTATTATATTAATTTAAACAATTATTATATAAATATATATTACTGTCTCCTTAATTGTTTAGATTTTTATAATGCATTATCTTCTTGCCGATCCACCAGTTCACATTTAGAAGTCTGCGTGTTTGTAGCGTAAAAACATTGATTTGATTTTCACATTGGTCTGAACAAAAACAGCGGACCGGCTGATTGAAAATGCACATTCATTCTCTGCCAGCAGGAGGCACTTTCGGAACGGCAGAAATAATGCGGTTTCCCTGGTAACGGCAGTACACAAACCAGCACCTGACTACGAAACCTGCAGCACACATATTTATTCAATGAAATCATAGCTTTTTGAAGTTTAATTGTCACATTAAGCCGTATCGCAAGTCTTGTCTTTCCGTCCCCAAATTTAAGACCTCCTGAAATCATAAGACTTTCTTGTACCATTTAAGACTTTGTATGGCCTTAAATTTGATACAACTAAATGCAAGACTTTTTAAGGACACGTCAACTTTCCTAGTTTTTGAGAATGCCATTGTATTTCACTCACTGAAAGTTTCATTTGTCTGCGCGCCGCTCTCTGCTGTCTTCACTGCACGACTGCACGTCTGAACAAGCAACAGTTAACTGTATTAGCAATCCATGGCACCGTAGGACCCAAACAGCTCTACTGAGCTGACCTTGATGTGCCTAATATAAATTAGATTTTATTAGAAAATAGCGTTTGGCATTTATTTATTTCATTATGTCAAAATTCTTTGTGGTCCGGATGGACGCATCTCGCGGTCCGGATTTGGGGAGGAGTCCGCCAATTGGCACCCCTCTTAGTCCCTAATTTTTCTCTTTCTCTTCCTATGATCTCTCTCTCTCTCTCTTTCTCTTTCTGTTTATGCTCTGTCTCAGCGTGTTCTCTGCTCTCTTCGCTAGTTGCTGTAGGCTCAGGATAGTAAGTATCTCTGACCATATGTATGAATCTGCCTAACAAAACAGCTGCTTAAGTTCCTCAGGCATGTTTCATGATGTAACACTGGGTATGATACTAGCATTCTATGCTAGTTTTAGAAGTCTTTCCATTGATATCATTAGTAAAATTAATTATTACAAAAATAATACAATAACAATTTAGCGTTTAATTGTGCCCTAACCCATGTGTAACTTCTGTGTTAAGCAATTTTCCTGCCACTGGAGCATTTCAATATTGTAATATTTTTCATTCATTTTGCATTCAGTACAGGCCGGCTGCTACGACAGTCATCGTGCCTCACCAGACCACTCTTATCAAGAGCTGACAGCGCAGAATGAGTAAGGATTTGTTCACAAAGGATGCATTGTTGCGTTCCATAAAAGCCAGACGTTTTTGTGCCAAAAACATTACCATTTTCCAACTTCTCCCTGGCAACTGGATTTAAATGGGTGCTTTTTTTTTTTGCTGCTGACCTCACAAAGCCATGGCAGTTCAGAATGAGTCATTTTTGCAGCTCAGTTTCAATAAATGCATTTTGTTTATACTGGAAAGGAAGATAGTGTAGTATTCAGTTTAGAGCTTATGACTCAACATAAGACATTAGTACATTAGACTATAATAGTAGAGCCAGTGTATCACTGCAGGACAGAGGTTTTCAAATTTTTTGATGCTATGCACATAGTGTTAACAAAAACT